CTGACAGAGGCACCGGGCCCGTTGACAGAGGCACCGGGCCCGTTGACAGAGGCACCGGGCCCGTTGACAGAGGCACCGGGCCCGTTGACAGAGGCACCGGGCCCGTTGACAGAGGCATGCTGCTCTGTGGCGCGTAGGGAGAGCGCAAGGGCACCGGAGGAAGCTGCGAGCAAGAGGTTCGTATAGTTCAAACAGCTTTCTAAGCATGGTACTACAGTATGATGAGAGCGTTCGCAACCTGCTGTATCGGAGATCATGCCAATACACGCAGGGTGAGCGCTCTGGAGGCCACGTCGAGGAGGCCGACCTCGTCGAGAGAGTGAAGAGCTTCACCAAGCGTTATCCGAATAGTCGGACAGCTCATGCTTGCAGAGCTGAGGGGGGATGCACTCCCGACGCTATCGCAGAAGCCATCCGCTCGACATGTCGGCAGGCGAGACGCGACCTTTTTGAAGACTCTCTGAGCGCATGGAGCCCAGAGTCGAAAGCATGGTTCATGCAACAGATGGAGGAGGCCAAACAGCAGAATGTCGAGACTTACATCGGCACCGAAGACACCGAGGAGACCTCCTTCATCTCCATGACTCTCCTGGGCATCTCCTCGATGTATGTGCGACAAGAAGACAAATTGAAAATGAAGTTGACGGAGCTGGGACTCATAGTAGACTCAGTCGATAGAGACGACAAGTCCATCATGTGGAAAGCACCTTACAGACCTGAGATAGCACGAGCAGACGACATCTCAGTCACCATCTCCTTCCTTCGGAATGAAGAAGCCATCGCACTTAGGGTTTAGGGTTTAGGGTTTAGGGTTTAGGGTTTAGGGTTTAGGGTTTAGGGGGGGAAGGGGCAGGAGGGGGTTTAGGGTTTAATTCCTGGCAGGTTCCTTATCTCCTGGCAGGATCCTTATTACCTGGCAGGTTCCTTATTTCCTGGCAGGTTCCTTATTTCCTGGCAGGTTCCATAGTTCCTCGCAGGTTCCTTATTTCCTGGCAGGTTCCTTATTTCCTGGCAGGTTCCTTATTTCCTGGCAGGTTCCTTATTTCCTGGCAGGTTCCTTATTTCCTGGCAGGTTCCTTATTTCCTGGCAGGTTCCTTATTTCCTGGCAGGTTCCTTATTTCCTGGCAGGTTCCTTATTTCCTGGCTGGTTCCTTATTTCCTGGCAGGTTCCTTATTTCCTGGCAGGTTCCTTATTTCCTGGCAGGTTCCTTATTTCCTGGCAGGTTCCTTATTTCCTGGCAGGTTCCTTATTTCCTGGCAGGTTCCTTATTTCCTGGCAGGTTCCTTATTGCATTTCAGGTTCCTTAGGCAAGGCAGGTGAATTATTTCCTGGCACGTTCCTTATTTCCTGGAGCTTCCTTAAGGAGGGCAGGTTCCTTATTTCCTCAAGAAGGAAGATTTCATAACAGATGACCTATGACTACGCAAGGAGGGAGGAGTGAGTTAAGGAGGATGGGGAGAGCAGGGCACTTATCCCGGTACGAGT